CCCCAGGCCCTAAAGTGTCTCCTACAGAGTCGGAGGTACAGCTCCATGGTAGAGTGCATTGTTTAGCCATGGGAGAGGTCTTGGGTTCACCCCTACCACTATCCAAAACCCCAAATCTCTAAAACAACTACTATATAAAGATCTGTCTGACCTGCTTAATCATCTACTTTCTCTTTGTCTCATTTGTTTTCCTTTCCCTTCCCTGATCTTCTATTGTGTTTTGAATGCAGTATTAACTGCTTTATATCCTCTCAGCTTTTATTCATTTACTTTAAATTATTTTTAATTTATTTTGGTTTTGTCGAAACAGGGTCTCACTATCGTACCCCTGGCTGTCCTAGGGCTCTCTCTGTAGACCAGGCTGGCCTTAAACTTACAGAGACTGCCTGCCTCTGCCTCCTGAGTGCTGGTGTGTGCACCACCCTTGGCTTCCTCTCATTTTAAAAAACATTTACATTTACTTATTTTGTGTGTGCATGTATACACTTGTGTGTGGCAAGGCTCCCATGTAGAGGTCAGAGGAAAAACTGTGGGAGTCAGTTCTCTTTTCCAACATGTGGGTTTTGGAGACAACACCCAAGTGGTCACGCTTGGTAGCAGGCACCTTTACCCACTGAGCCATCTCAGCAGCCCCACCCTATATGCTTTTCAGCCATGCTTTTTTTTTTTTCTGGTTTCGGAGGGGACTGTAATATACATCTTCTCTTTTTCCAAGTTTACCTTGAATGAGTAGCATTTCAGACACAGTGAGAACCCTTCAGTCATTAACTTCAGATGCTATGCCAGATGCAGCGCTTTGCTCTAGAAATGCAATGGCAAGAAGCTACTCCTACCGTCTCCTTCCTTACTGCAGTAAAATAACCAGGACATCCTGTTGATGACAGTGGGAACTTTGTGTACTCTAGTGAAACCTGATTCACCATGCGTGCACATGTTGTGTAGGATGCTGCTGTTTGCTTTCATGCTTTACTAATTTTGTTGGGTTGTTTGGAGACAGGGTCTCATGAACTTATGCAGCTGTGGATATCCTTGAACTTTTTATCCTTCTTTTTTCACCTTCTGAGTGCTGAACGGCTAGGTCACAGGTGTGTACTGCTCTGCCTTGTCCAGCATTTTTCACTCTAAACACATGCATCAGGCTTAGATCCTGAGTTTCAAACCTTCACTAAAAGGAAGTGGGTGGGCTGGAGAGACCGGCCAGTGGTTAAGAGCACTGACTTCTCTTCTAAAGAACCTGGTTCAATTCCTAGCACCCATATGGCAGTTCAACAACCATCTGGCCTCCACAGACACCAGGCATGCATGTGATGCACAGGCATACATGCATGTAAGCAACCATACACATAAATAATAAAATAAAAATTGAAGAATGAAAAGGAGTAGAGAAGGGACAGACCCCAGAGCTGGGGGCAGAAAAGGCAGCAGGGAGTCTGGACATTTGTACAGAGAAGCTAGTGTCTACAAAGAACCAAGAGTCAGAACAATATGACAACTGGCTTGGAAGCTCCTGGAGTCTGACACAATCAGCCAGAATAAGGCAACAGAAAATTGTATAGTCAACAATGTCCAGAGCAGTGCTAAACACGGGAGGGGCCAGCTAATGAAAGAAGAGAGACAGGACCAGTAAGTAGCTATTCTTGTTGCCACCAACTAAAATAACAAAAAACTGCTGGGAACAGAGTTCTGTGTTTTGCTTGGTGTTCCCTAGAAGGTGACCTGCTTGTTCTGAGAGGTGAAGGCAAAGGCAACTTTAGCTGAGGGACCAGGTGTACCATTACTAAGCATGCATTCTTCAGAGAACTTGATGTTGCTTCCATGGATGAGTACCATGATCCTGCCTGTGGCTTTCTGCAGCACCTGCAGCTAACCAGGACTCTTTAGCACATGTGGGAAGAAAGGGCAGTGGGTGGAGCCAGAGGGTGGCAGGAGAGGACACACAGCAAAGATGCTGTTGACTAAATGCCTCTGTGTGCTCTTGGTACCATGTTAAAACCCCTAGTTAGTAGACAGGACAGTGGTGGCACACACATTTGATCCCAGCACTTGGGAGGCAGAGGCTGGCAGGCCCCTGATTTCGAGGCCAGCCTGGTCTACTTATCAAGTTCAAGGACAACCAGGACTAACAGAGAAACGCTGTCTGAAAAAACAAAAATAAAAAACAAAACAAAACTGCCAAATCAGCCTGCAGGAAACTGCTTCAGACTGTGTGGTGTTGGGGCAGCAACATGCCCCTCCATCTGGGTGACACAGTGTCAGAGTAACAGTGAATCAGCTACAGGCCACAGGACTAAAGCAGACCCCACCGAGACACTGAGATGGAAGCATAGAGAGAAAGATAGAGAGGGAGGAGAGGAAGAGAGAGGGACAGAGGGAGGAAGAGAGAGGAAGGGAAGGAGGGAGAGAGAGGAAGGGAGAGGGAGGGAGGGAGGGAGGGAGAAAGGGGGGAGAGAGGGAGAGAGAGAGAGTCTGATACAGGAGGACCAAAGGATGGCAAATGGACCAGCTCCAGGCCTGTGGCGGAAAGTATTGGGCTAGTAGCTGTACACTCTCAGTGGCTGTTCCTGGGGAACCAGCAGTCCTCAGCTGAGAGGTCTCTAGTGCAGCTCATCTACCTCTTCCTGTCTTTTTGGGAAGACAGTGCTCCAGCAGAAAAGCTTAAGTCCTGATGCCTAAGACGGGGACACTGGCCCCTCCACACATTCTTCCATCATCTCCCCTTGAATGCAAAGGTTAATTTGAGGGCAAAGCAAGAATTTCTTCTGTTGAGAAAGATCTTTTGCTGTAAGAATTAATTTTAGACCATGCCCTTTACATATACCAAAGGTGATGATGAACTTGAAATGTTAAACCACTTGCTTAAGGAACGAAGTCTATGCACTGCATGCAGTAGCTGGTAGGATTACCAAGGCTGGAATGTAATTTATAAATGTGAACTTGTATTGGAAACCTTTGATGACATCCATCAGCCTAACAGCTCCTCCAATGGCTTCTCAGGCTAAGGAAAGTGATCCCTTTCCCCAATTAACAGAGCATCCAGCTAACAGGCTGTTTTGTGCTATCACCTTAGGCTACCTCCAGAGGAGAGATTCTAAGGTCAGTGCTCATGTCCTTTGTGGGCAACAGCTGGGGCCCTGGATGTGTACTATTCACCTGAAATCCAGGGTCTGTCCCCTAAAAATTGTAACCCTTTCTGGCTGCTTTGTCCCACGACATGTAGAGGTCTGATGACTCCTGTTCAATTGGGAACTAAAGGAATCCATTAGGTGACACTAGCAGTTAGAACCAGGAGGGTGCTCCAGGCTAGCACCTATGCTGAGAACATGGCTCCCATAGAGTGGCTGCACCCACTGCAGCCGTAGTCTAGATTTCCAATGTCTTCTAAAGGCCTATACAGAAATTTGTGCACTGTGTGAAGGCTGTCTTTGTAGTATTCAAATGCTGATTTCTGTACCAGTCGAGAGCTGAGTACAGGACATACTTTGCTGTTGTTATTCTTTGGCTGCATCATATTTCGTAAACATACGTCCCTCAAGTACTGATTAGTTTAAAAAAGAGCTGACTGGCCAATAGCAAAGGCAGAAAAGAAAGGTGGGACTTCCGGGCAGAGATAGGAACTCACCAGCTGACATGGAGGAAGAAACAATGCCCGGACTCTGACTGAGAGGTAATGGACTATGTGGCAAAACACAGATTAATATAAAGGGGTTCATTTAAGTTAAAGCTAGTTGGGAACAAGCCTAAGCTAAGGCCAAACTTTTATAACAAATAAAAAATCTCCGTGTCATTACTAGGAGCTGGTGGTCCAAGACTACTACTATTATAAATTGGCACCTCAAAGGGTACAGGTCCTGCAGGGAAGGTCTGGTGCTATCAAGAGGGACCTAGTGGAAGGCTAGTAGGTCACTGGGGACATGCCCCTAAAGAGGTTAACAGGGACCAGCCCTTCCTTTTTGCTTCCTGGTCACCAGACAAAGGGGTTGGCCCTAACATGTGCTTCCACCACAATTCATTGCCCCAGCACAGGCCTAAAGCAACAGGGCTAACAGACTGAGATCCTGAAAGCTGACCACAATCAACCCTTGCTTTCTGTAAGCTGATTATCTCAGGCACTGCACTTTTAGAGATGGAAAGGTGATGAGCACAGTAACAGAGACAGGTGCCACAGAGTGTGGCCAAATTCCCCAAAGTTAGAGAAGAGCAAGAGAAAGTGCTAGGCCTTGAGACTGACAGGTGAGGCCAGGGCAGCTTGAGGTTCTCACCAGGTGAAAGTGCTAGAAAACTGTAGCTCAGAGGGGTAAAAGCCAGGCTCAAACATAGTGGTTGGGACTTCTGCTCTATAACCATGTTGGCTGACCTCCCTGTTATCCTCACGATGGAGAGAGAGGTACCTATCAGAGATTCAGAGCCAGAGCTTGGACCCATTCTCTGCCCTGCTCACCATCATTCATTATTCACCACCCAGGCTCCAGTGGCCATTACTAGAGACAAAGCAGGACACTGAGTCAGGAGTTTATACTTTCCTAGTTGACCCCTCTGTTCCCTGTAGACAAGTAAGAGGGACTGGGGCAGATCCAGCAGAGACAGCAAGGTCTCTGGGCTAGTGATAAAGAAAAACAGGGTCCAGAGAAAAACCATGTGAGGCCTCCTTAGGCATGGACACAAGTGTGCCCTGGACCCCCACACCCTCGCTACTGGTGACCCAATGCCAAGAGACAGTACCTCACTATTATGCTAGGTAAGCCTGGGCTCCCAGAAGAGACATTATTACTGAAGATCAAGACTGTACTCTTCCACTATCTGCAACTGTTTCACACAGGTGACACCAAGACTTCATTTTTTCCCCTGTGAGATATGGTAGCCTACCTGGACCGGGTCCGTTTCCTGCTGGCTCCAGGGCTGCTGCTCATCCGGTAAGCAGTGGGGACACTCCTGTCTTCCCGTCGTCTCTCGGGAGAATGAGCTCTCCTTCTCGGGGACCGAGAGCGTGACCTAGATAGACAACAAGGTGGAGTTTAGTTCTGTCTGAGGCCTGGTCTTTGTGGTATGCACATCCCTAGCATGAGGCGAGAAGCCCCTGTCTGAGATGCAGGCTGCTCAGAGCCCTGCTTCTTTAGAGGCCCTACATACTGACACCAGCTTGGAGGCACAGCACCTCTCCCCACCCCTGCCTGCACTACAGCAAGGCGCATGTCTCCAGGAGGCTGCGCTTGCACTCCCCTGCTCCTGCCTTGTGCTCACTCTCGGCCTGAAGCTTTCAGCTCACTGAAGATGCTCCTACCTTCAGGCAGAAAAAGGTGCTGAGATAATGGCAGTAGGGAGAAACTAAAAGCTGAGAAGCCAAGGACTGCAGGCTGCATCTGGCCATCCTCCTGTCACTCATCTCAGGCCGCATGGCAGGAGGCATCAGGAGCACACTGCAGGGCCATTGGCATGAAGCCCAAACCCTGCATCTGCTCAGAACATGATGCCCTCATGACAGACTGACTACTTTAAGTTTATGGGGGGCTTCATGGTCACAAAACCATCTACTAATACTTATTCTTTGATTCATGCCGGAATATATTCCACAAAAAGCAAGAAAGACCCTCAAGACCACCTCACCCTTTGGGGTGTACAGATCCTTAATAGAGGGTTTCTCAGTGATGGCTTGAGACTTTAATTTTAGTTCTCCGTCCATCTGCTACTTCAGGAAAATCTGCAATAAGCAGAAATTTAGGTGGGAAAAAAAGCCCTAACAAACTCAAACTCCTCTCTTTGTTCTGTTTCCATGACAACCCACTCAAAAACAATATAAAGAGAGCAGTTTGATTCCTTCATTTGAAAAAGTTCTTCATTGAATCATTCTAAGCACAACGAAGTCCTCCCTCCCAATACAAACAACACACAGTTGTTCAGGAAATCAAGTTCTGGTCACACCCTGGCTCCCATGAGCCCATGCCGGCTTCTCCAGCAGGGCTGGTCTAGGCGGCGTGCCTCCCCAGACCTTCCCTAGGCTATACAGACTACAGAGGTGGGGGCAGTCAGACACCTTGACGGTTTACCAGGTTTCCCCTCAAAAGAGCTCCAGGAGTCAAAGCTGCTCGAGGCCGAGGCTGCCTGATAACTCTCCTGCTGTGCTGCCGCCACTGCCGAGCTGCTGGGACAAGGCTCCACACTCAAGATCCCTGGGGAGGCTGAGGGCCTGCGGTCGGAGGCACATACTTCACATTCAGAATGAAATGTGCCGGGCTGGGTGCTACCAGAGCCGTGAGAAAGCTCCGCTCACTCAAAGCTTTAGCACCTATGGATGCTTAGCATAGAATTCTACAATAAACTCAACAATTAGGAAAAATAAGTTAGTTTTTAATGCCTGAGGATTCAGAACGTTGAAGTACAATACCGTTTTGCAGTGGCTATTAGTATTATGAATTCTTCAGAACACAGTGGCTGTTCCCAGTAGAATTCAAATCTTCTGGGAAGGAAGCCCTGCTCAGAACAGGGCAGCAAACAACAGCCGGTAATTCCTTAGGTCTCACTTTAGTTAAGCAAGCCTTAATGCTTTTCATTTTGTTAACCAGGCTCTTAATACTGATGCCAGGATAGGGCAAGAGCCGGGAATCCCAGCTTATGAATAAAGCAGCAGTGCAATGTCACAACAGGCCTTCTTAAAGAAGACAAAGTGCTTGAAACTCAAAACTTCCAGGCATAGTTCGACAAAGACATCCCTTCCTGAATGACCACAATGCTTTGCTTTGGGAGGCAGGAGACTCTGAATGATAAAACTCCAAACTAACGTCTAAATGCTAGTGTCGGCACCCACAGGAACCAACTCATCTGCTCCACTCACTACACCTGGGCTTCTCAAGCTGTGGGACACCAACAGGTGACCTGGCAGCCAGGGTGCGGATCTAACCTAGTGGGAACTGGCCAGTGGTGTGAAGGTTAACTGCACTGGAGTCAAGTCACCCTCTGTTCATTCCTCCCACAGGCTTGTCATTGTAAAGTGCAGACACCTGAGCCTTACCTGGCTTGTTCACAGGTCACCCTAACATAAAACTAACAGCCCACATCCATATGGGAAGTGTCACCACACAGAAGTTCCAACCACTCCCCTTCTCCTTTTAAAAAACGTGTTTGGGGATTACATTTCCTTTTCTGGTTTGTTACATAGCTTACCACTGAGAAACAGATAGTAAAGACTCACTAATTTCACACTAAAATTGAACCTAAATTTTGTCTGAACAAGTTTCTTTTTGGCTTTTTGTTGTTGTTCGTTTTGTTTTTAGAGACAGGGTTTCTCTGTGTAGCCCTGGCTGTCCTGGAACTCAGAGGTCTGCCTGCCTCTGCCTCCTGAGTGCTGGGATTAAAGGAGTGTGCCACCATACTTACTGAATGGTAAATAAAACTAGCAACAAACAAACAAACAAACAAACAAAAACTCATCAACTTGACCCCCTCCCCCATTGGAAGGGATTTATAAAGTTACCCTTACGGAATGTTCTTATGCAGATCCTCTCCAATGGCTGGGCTGCCCTGAAAGCACTACACATGACTTAACTGTGTGCCTGCTGCCTCAGCAGGACTTAAAGCTGGACACAGCACAAGTAAGAGCAGGGGCAGCGGCACAGACATGATTTACACTTTGGTCAAGGCTGCCTCAAACTCCTCACAGCCACTATGTTTCTGAGGTGCTGAGCATTATGAAACCAAACACTCTTGTTATGAAGAGCTTGCTTTGGCAGATACAGTGCCACCTACAGTTTGGCCATACAGAGTAAGCGAAGCTTCAGCACTATGAGTAGATCACACAGTAAACAAATCATACTGTCCTGCACTTTATATGGGACTAGAACCACTTAATATAGAGAAGATAATAATGCATTTCAGTTGCAGTATGCTCCCATTGGAGAATGCCAACAACTGTAGCATTTTACTTTGAGCTAGCAGTCATCATTTAAAAATGACCACTTAGGATGTTTCAGGCCTGAAAAATAAGTCTAGTAAGTACGTCCTATTGTAGCTGTTACCATGGTAATGGGCTACTCTACCTGAGAGGATAGTTAAAGACAAAATAATGACAGTATCATCAGCACTTTCTGCACTGTAGTTAAGAGTGTCAACAGCTCATAGTAGTATCAGCCTGCCATCATGATTCAGTTACAACTGCAACAGTGTATTTGGTGTTTCTCTCTATGTAAAACAGGCTGGCCCTGGACATCCTCCCTTCTGCCTCAGTCTGAGTGCTGGGATCATAGGCATGGCTACTGTACCACTATAACTGCTTTCAAACTGCTTCGATCCTGAGAGTACTAACAGGGCCTGGACTGGGCAAGCAGTTCTGCTTTCAGCTTGGGAAAATATGAGCAAAAGGTAAAGGGTGTAGTCCGCTGTGCAGCTGAAGACGGCTCCTTCCAGGGGCCATGTTCCAGCTCTCAGTGTGTTGTGTGCACAAACAGCAAGCAGCTGGTGCAGATGAGGGTGTGTGTGTGTGAGAGAGAGAGCACCAACACTCTTACTATGCAACAACGCTGTACCTTGTCTTGATGTTCTATCTAAACCATAAGACCAAAAATCAAAGATGGACTTATCTCCTGCCCTAAAGGATGTGAGTTATTTAACCAGATTAATCCAAAGTAGCTTTGTGATCCCACCTCAGCCACTGAGACAGAAGTTCGGAGAGCTTTGAGAATAACCAAGCTCTGCTGACACTGTAAAACATTTTCACCAAAGGTCAAATTAAGATAAAACTGGTGGCCTGCCATGAAAGGAGAAATAATAGTCAGAAAAAAATTCAGTGTCATTTTGTCTTTTAACTGAGAATTACACTAAGCAGTAGGGTTTTGCTCCAGGACCTGTAGGCACTGAAGATAGAGTGTTATAGAATTAGTTGATCCATTATAGTGAAGGACTACAGTTAAATATAGCCAGGAACTTATAATGCATGGGTTAGGTGAACACTTCCCATGGTCAAGAGCACCAACCTGGGGACAAGCTGGACAGTGAGAAGTCAGCGGCAGTGTGCCATGCCACACGCTGAGATTAGTGTGGTGCCTGCATCGAGGAAGAGTCTAGGAGCTCTCTCTGTTGGCTCAAGGCCTGGGAGTCATGATGGGACTGTTCATCCCCTTGTCTGAGCCCTGGGGTACAGGAGATCAGGGAGAATTGACTGGCCAGAAGGAGGCTGAAGGACTGGGATAGCCTGTGCTCTTTGGATCTGTAACAAATTCTAGGAGCATAAAACAACAGCAAATCTAAAGCATGACAGCAAAACTGTTCATTTAATTACAAAATAGCAAGGTTTCTGCACGTGCATAGTAATAGTACCAAGTGTTGAACTTCTAAGAACTAGAGCCAAAGGCTCACCATGAAGACGAAGCCACCCAAAATGAGGTCTTGTCAAGCCCTGGCCTTGGTGTGGGTAAGGAAGAAAGCATGCTGCTTTCAGGATATACGCAGACAGACCAATGTGCACAGTGCATCCAAGAACACAGGGCACCATCCCAGAAGAGGTGAAGGAAGCTGGGTGTGTGATCAGAGTCCAGGGGACACATGAATGTCCAGGGCAGGGTGAGAGCTAAGGACTGGATAGGTGCTCTGGATCTCACTCACACCAGCTACCACTGAGCTTCATTTTAAACCTTCTAATACAACGGGGTGTGCTCTGGGACCCCTGAAGTACAAGTTTACTAATTCTGTTGCCAGAAACGTCAAGCCGCTTCCTGGCTACCTGGCTCCTTATCAAGAGAGCTTTATGGTGGGATGTTTGGAGAGGCAGCAGGCTGAAAGGAGGAAACAGATTTCACACTCACTAGAAGACACTGTTTGGAACATCTGAACACAGACTGGGCGGAGGGCTGCTGTACCACTTCACACACAGAGACAACCAGCATAGGGAAGTTCATTCACTCCAGCATGGCAGCCTATGAATTCCTACAACTCAGCACAAGTGCCAGGCTCTTTATAACCTGTAAAGCATCCATCCTGCTATCCCCTAAGAGGCAGTCTCAGGCTCTCAAGTTTGCTGCTACATAGTCGAAGATAATCTTGAATGCCTCCATCCTCCTGCCTCTATTTCCCAAGGACTAGGATCACAGTCATGTCTCCAAGCTCACCCACAATTTCCTTTTTCACACATTTCCATGGAAGGGAGGATACCTTGTTTTATTTGTGTGTGTATGTGGAGGCCAGGACAACCTTGGGTGTTCTTCCTCAGCAGCCATTCACTGTGAGTGTTTTTGTTTGTCTTGATTTTTGAGACTGGCCTTACCATGTAGCCCTAGGTAGCCCAGAAAATGCTATATAGATGAAGTTGGCCTCAAACTCAGAGCAACACATTTGCCTCTGCTTCCCGAGTGTGAGGAGTAAAGGCTTCTACCCCTACACCCAGCCCATTTACCTTACTTTACAAGACAAAGTCTCTCACTGGGTGGATTTCCCTGATTAGGCTAAGCTGGCTGAAATTTAGCCTCAGCCTGTACCCAGCTCCCCTACGCTAGAATGAGAGGCATGCACCACCATGCCTGGCCTCTTCATTCAATTCCTCAGGTTGGCAGCAAGATATACTGACTGAGCTACCACCCTAGTGTAGCTTAGACCGGCCTTGAACTGGAGATCCTCTTGCCTCCGCCTCCTGAGTAAAGAGTGGGTATAAATAAGCTATGCAGATAAGAAACATAAATAAGTCATGTAACCTGTACTGGCTGATGAGCTCTGAAAAGCCTACACAATGGTGTTTGAAACATTTCCTTTAGATTTGCAGGACACAGACACACCCACACACACTCCAGTCTGTGCTCATTTTACATTTCTGCTGGCTCTACAGGTGCGAAGAGGAAGCTCAGAGTGTAGGGCAGACCAGGAGCAGGAGGGCATGAGCGCAGCACACCCACCTCGACCGCCGCACTGTCCGGTAGGCACTGGGCAGGGAGTGCTTTGCTTTTGAGTGGGATCTAGACCTGGGCTTGGAAGATGAGTGGTACTTGGGGGAGCGGGACCTCGTTCGAGACCGTTTTTTGTGCTTCTTCTTCTTCTTTTCTCTTTCTTCTTCTCTAGGTGGGTCTCTGCATCTGCTTGAAGGCCTTTCTGGAGGCTTCACCTCCAACATGGGCAGAGTTCTGCCTCCAACCAGCAGAGGACAAGGCATGACACCAGTTTCCTAAAAACAAAGTGAACGTGTGGATGTCAACAGGAAATACAACTCTTAAAGGGTAGATACTTGTCTCTGAGGAAAGACCACCTTTTAGTGGTTATCTATAAACATCTCCCTGCTGTGTGTGGTGGATCAAAGCTGCGACTGAGAAATAGAAAAAGCATGTGGGAAGCAGAGATAGGAGAACTGCTGTGAGTTTGAGGCCTGCTTGGGCTACAAAGTTAATTCTAGACTAGCCTGGGTTAGAGTGAGATCCTGTCTCAAAGGACAAGCCTCTGACCTATCAGGAGAAATGTGGTCATCGAGTGGCACTCATGGAAGAGTTCTCATTTTGTGCCTGTAGGATTTAGCAGTAAGATTTATGGAAAATTCAAAGTCAATGCTCTGTGGGACCAGCTGCCCATTCTGCCCCAGATGTCTGGGAGCCCTGGAATGGAATGGGGGCAGAAGTGGAGAGCATGCCATTTGTAAACCTACAACTGTGGGTAGGAGGGCCGCCTTCCTGCTTCACTCGGGTCCACTCTGGCAGGCAGCTGGTGAGCATCCATGCACAGGACTCTTAAAGAATGCTAGCTCACAGTGAAAAGTTGTCCGGTGGGTTGAACAGAGGCCAGATGGCTACTTGCAGTTGTCACACAGGAAGAAGGTCTCCCAGCTTTTCCCCAAGCTTCCTGCCCCTTAGGCCACTATGCTTAACCACAGACAGGCTAATCACCATTGATGCAATATTCTTAGCCACTGCTTAAAATTTTAGTGTGCCATTAACCTCTTTCTTCTTTTAGATAGGGTCTTACCTATGCAGCCCTGGTTGGCCTGGAACTCAGAGATCTGCCTGAGTGCTGGGATTAAAAGTATGGGCCATCATACCCATTCAGCAATATTTTTCTATGTCAGTGAGTACAGTTTAAGACATCACTTAAAAATCACACCTACATAAGTAAAAATCACTTCTAATGGCCAATAGCACTGGGCAGACCAGCGTGCAGAAAAGGACCATGTTACACACGTATGGTGAAATGCTGCCCCAAGAGCACCTGCCCATCCTGAGGAGCTGGCTGAGCTAGTCTCAGTCTGACACATCTAGCAGTACCACCTATAACCTTATCTCACTTCCTTTTGGAGCCTGTGAGAACTCTTGACTACATATATGTGGTTAACTGGGTGACTGTGCCAACATTTGTAGGCCAAGTGTACATCAAGGCGTTTGATGAAGTACATGGCAGTGTATTCCATGAGGTTTCTTGAGATTAGTAACATTTTGGGTTTGACTACCATTCATGAACTGTCCTTGTTTCAAAGCAATCAGACACTTATCACCTTCTGCTCCTCAGGTTCCCGTTCTGTTGAAGCAGCTCTGCTGAAATAATCTTCTAGTGCACACACAACCAGGGAGACCATTCCAGAGTCAAAAGCTGTGGATTACAGACTGGGCCAAGGCTGGCAGACAAGAATGGACCCACTCTGAGAGAAGGCACAAGCTGGGTCAGCCACCAGCAGGCTGATGACAAGTAACTTTGATAGACTGAATTCCCACTAAAACAGCCAGATGAGAACAGAGGCAACTTGTATCCATGACTTGTTTTTATCTATCTGCAGGTGTGGTCTTACCTATTTTTACAAATCACACTTCTTTATATATTACGTGCCTGTGTGTGCAAGTGTGTGGAGGTCAGAGGACACATAACTGAGTCAGTTTTCTCTTTCCAGCATATGGATCTTAGGGATCACACTCATGCTTACTAGGCTTGGCAGCATCTCTACCTACTGAGCCTTGTCATACTGTCCTGTCTAACCTTCACCCCAACTTGGAGACAAGGTCTCATGTAGCACAGGCTGACTTCAAACTTGGCATAACCAAGGATGACACAGAACTTTGAACCTCCTGCCTCTATCTCCCCATGCTAAGGTAACAGGGTGTATTAACGTGTCAAAGACAAGCCTAGGACCCTGTGCATGCCAGGCAAGCACTCCATCTACTCAACTACACAGTAGGCTTATAGATGTGTCTTAATCTCTGTTCACTGTACAAATGATAGTGAAAACAGTAAGAAACTCAGTCAAATCCCACATATCTCTACCCAGGCAGGCCCTTGATTGAGGTTTCTCTCCTTGCTGCCTATGTCTTTCCATAGCTGCAGAGCTCATGTTTCTGCACTCCCTCCTGCATGGCCCCCGCCTCAGTGCCTCACCAATGCCCTCACCTGGGGCCACAGTGTACTTTGTTCTTCCAATTCTCCAGGAACAGGCTTTGAGGGACCAGAAGATAGTCTACATCTGTGGGGCTCTGGGAAATGGGGTTATAGTGCCCTAGTGGGGTTGCTGCTATGTTTTGCCACCTTCAAGAAAAGCTCATTCTGGAAAGGCAGAGATCATCCTGAAAACAGGACCACTAAAAATATAGACGGTGGACACAGAAGCAACTGGTCTGGATATTCAGGAGTTGGGGAAGAGTCTTTAACCATAGGCACACTGCAATTAAAGTTAAAAAGGGTGAAGGAGATGGGTGTGGTGGCACATGCCTGCAACCTTGAAATTTGTGAGGCTAAGGCAAGAGAAATGATGTGAGTTCCAGCCCCTTTTCCCTTTTCAACAACAGCAAACAAAAGAAAAGGGCTTGTTCTGCATTATGAAGGAAAGCCAAGTGTGGTAGTCTGAATGAAAATGGCCTCCATAAGGCCCTAATGGAGTGGCAACATCAGTGTGGCCTTGCTAGAGTAGGTGTGGAAAAAGTGGGCTGGGCTTAGAACTCTCCACATCTCTCTAGCACCAAGTCTGCCTGTCTGCTGGCCATGCTTCCAGCCATGCTGCTAATGGACTAAACCTCTGAACTGTAAACCAGCACCAATTAAACACTGTCCTTTAAAAGAGTTGCTGTAGTCATGGTGTCTCTTCACAGCAACAAAACCCTAAGACACCAAGCATATAAAATATTTAAAGACACTTGGAGACAGATAGGCATGACCAGAGTTTTCACAAAACAACACACACCACTGCTGCCAACAGCCTTTACTGAGAGTTCCTGGAGCTAGGCACTGCTTCACATGGCTTCACACAAGGTACCATGTGATGGCTGTGTTCAAGGCCATCACTTAGGACCAAGCTGCTGGGGCTCTCCATGACCTCTTGGTATTGAGAATGAGCTCATGGACTCCCACACAGCAGTGCTCTGCCACAGAACTATACCGAGCAAAGATACAGGTGAGTGTCATTTACCCTCTTTTTCAGTTACAGCACAATACAGATACAGGTGCACACACTGAGATCTCTGCTCAAGTGTAAGCTCAACAATGTGGCTCCAACCACTGAGGCCCTGCTCTAGCCATATCTGTCAGACCACAGGCAGCTGGAGGTCCTGCATGGGAGTCCATGGGCTGAGCTTCCTGATGGGGATCCACGCCTCTGTTCCGAGATGGCAGCCTGCATTTGATGTGTTTATAGGGCGACTGTCACGGTCTCTCTTCACAGACTCCTGTGACTATGCTGGAGGCAGGTGCAGGGCTGCTGGCACCAAACTTGGGCTGGGGCTCCAAGGGCAGGAGAGCCCAGAACCAACTTTCATCTACTGCAAACCCAAGCATGCCATCGGGACTACCATCTACGTACCTCCACACTGAAAGCACTTTCCTCAAGCTTCCCAACTTCTGATTCTGGAAGAGGATTTTTTAAGGTTTGTAAAAACAAAGCTGCTTTCCTTTTACGTTCAGCCTGAAGCTGCTTCTCCTTTGATTCCTTGGATGCCTGGGCCAGCTTTTCCCGGGCAGCAGCAGCAAGACGATCCTCCAGCTTCTGTTTTGCTAAAGAAAACAAAAAAGGCAGAGTCTACAGCAAGCAGGATACTATTTCTAATTTTCACAGGTATATAAACACTGCCATTTTAAGACGAACCTCACAGCAGGTAGACACCTGGAACAGACCAGAATTTAAAGAAAATAAACTTATGATGTCTTTTTACTCTCAAAAGCAGAGAGGCTGAAGGGGTCCCACGGTGGCAGAATCTGGGGCTGGGTACTGGGAACAGCAGAATGGTTCCCAGACACAGGAGCCCCAAAAACTCCAAGTCAGTAATGATGCCCTGTGGGAAGTGTCTTAGCTCTGAGGGCATGGCAAACTGCTGAGGGCATGGCAAACTGCTGAAAACACACACACACACACACACACACACACACACACACACACACACACACCCACCCACACCCCCACACAGTGACTGTAAGTGCACTGAGGGTGAGCACCTGTCTCTGGAAGACATGCTTCTCTGGCTCCAGAGCCTCCCATAACCAGTGTTGTATGGTCTGTTCATGCACAGCCAGAAATACAACCCAAGAAAAGCAGTTAGAATAAGCCTAGGCAAGCACTGTAGCAGTTCAGCCCCAGCCTGAACACCCCACATGCTACTGGCCATGCTGTGACCCATGAAGAAGAGCCAAGGCTGAGAAATCAGCTCCAGCAGGCATCATCTTCAAGGGCTGATGGTTCTTCTGAAAGACATTCTCACAAAAGGGCCTCTCCAAGTTTGGTGCATTAACCAGAGTGGGGAGTCCAGGCCTGGTGTCTCACCCCGGGGCTGTCGTCCAAGTACAAAGTGCGCCTCCATTAGAGCCGTCCGCTTAGCACATTAGGCTGCTCTGAGTACAGATTGCCAAGGGCACTGCATCAAGCTAAGGAGTGCACAGTGCCACACAGCATCACAAGCGGGGCTTTCAGAACGCTCCTGAATGGCTCCAGGCTTTCGTTTGCAGACTTAGAATTTCTAGCTTAGAACATAAATCTTATTATATTTGTACTCTTTCTTTTAAGAACTTTCAAAGCTATCGACAAACCTTGCTTTGCTTCTAGCTCCTCCTGGGTAAGCTGGGGTTTCTTTTCCTCCACAACCACACAGGGTGGGGCTGCAGCTGGGCTGGGGTTGGCCACACTGCTTGTGCTTTCCTGGCATTCCCTGCCTTCTTCATCTTCTTCACTATCATCATCCAGTTTGACTCGGTTTTTTTCCAGGGGAAGGAGGTCGTTTTCCTTGGCCTTGATGGCAAAGCTTATTGGAGCAAATGAAGCTGTTGAGAAAAGTTGATAAGTGTGACGCACTTTCAGGCTACAGAGGCAGAATGCACAGACACTGTCATAGGCAGTACCAATTACAAGAGAGATGGTTGACAGGCAGATGGTATCTACAGTGAAGGCACAGTGTGTATGTGTGTTCTACAGGTGGGGCCACTGCAGTGTCAAAGCATTTAAACAGGACTCCTTTGACCACTATGCTGCCCATGATAAGCATGGTTCAGACACACATCCATGCTTGTCATGGGCAGCACAGTGGTACTGCATAGTATATACCTACTGAACATGGAGTGGCCATCTTCAGTGTTAAATGGTCAATTTTTGTCATTTTCCTTTTTTAAGAAAACTTTTAAACATTTATTTATTGTGTATGCTTGAGAATGTGCCACACATGCACGTCAAGGTTAGAGGACAACTGGGAATTAGCTCTCTCCTACCACAGGTTGTGGGCATTAAACTCAGGTTGGCAGAATTGGTGGCACGTGCCTTTACCCACAGAGACATCTTACTAACCTGCCATTAAAAAAATTATTTTGAAAGAATCTGGAATGTAGCTGAATTGGTGTGAGTAGGCATGTGACATGGCTCAACTAAGAAACATTTAAATAAGCCTACTCTTCAAAATCTAAACCAAAACGACAACCAAGATGAAAACAAACATGGAAGTCATTCCTTTATTCAGCTAACATGACAAGCATCATGCCAGAACTCACTTTACACCTATTACAAACATTTCAAGGTGTAACAAAAAATTAGGGGATATAGCCCCAACCCCTAACCAATGGAGGAACACTTAATTTAAGAGAAATACAAAGGCCTTAAAAAAGAAAGTCTTCCTGCGCTTGAATCAGCTCGTCAACAGAGTCTCTGTCAATCACTATGCCGAGTGACTCTTAACAGGTGGCTGGATACAGTTGAATGCTATAGCCTTTATTCATGACAAGTGTCAAGAAGCTACAATGAAGGGCATCTCCAGTGCACTGGAAACCACTGCCTCTGAGTAAACTGGGTTGTGGGAACACAGGTTCCAGCAGGGCTATGACTGTGGTGCCCTCCTCCTAGACTCTTAGCTTCCCAGGGCAGGTCACTTGGCCATGTGCTGGGCTGAGGGAGATTCTCCTTACACTGTGTTGAGTTAAACAGGACACATGCCTGCAACATACACTGTATTTAATGCCCAAGACCCAGGAGAGCTGACTTCCACCCCACACCTGGCAGGCAGCACAGCACACTTTAACCTGTTGCTGTGTTGTAATGCTGATCAGATACTAACCAAAGTCCTCAGCTTTTATAGCACAACCCAGGCGCCTTCGCTAATGGTGTGGTGGTGAAGATCTGTAGAATGATGCAGCCCAAGGGCTGACTGCTGAAGGCAGTGGTGAGTACTTGGTGAGGTGATGTGGGTTACTGTGCCTATGCTATTTTTGTACATGTCTTAAGGTTCCTTAAGAAAACTAAGTTTAACAAAGCAAACCCTTTACTGCCTGTAGTAATAGAGTCCGTTTAATAAGCAGAGGGTCATGGACATTTTTAAAAGAGAGGAAACGTAAATGGAATAAAATGTAAACGAAATAAAATGTAAATGGAGTCACTTATGAAGTGAGAGTAAAATACACGACAATTTAAGAACACCTATACTGTTTCCAGAAAAGGGAACAGTCCTGCAGATCATGTCAACCCAAGTCTGTAGAACATTTTGCCATACTCAGTCTGGAGAGGCATTCACAGCTAGACAGAGCCAAAGCACCATATCCCATCCCTCCCCGTGCCACCCAAGGAACCTAATTAAAGTGTCCCCTAACCTGTGTGTCTAGGTGCCCTGCCCTCACTCAGTGCTGATGACGCGGTTACCAGGTTCCCCGTGTCCCAATGCACTAATGAGAACCAACAGGCCAAGGCTAGGAAGCTTCTCTAGGTAAGTCAGCCTAGTCAAACACCTTGGGAATTCTTCTGGAATATTTTGCATGCCACTAATTGCATTACCACTAATCTTAAAGCTCTTTCTCCAAGTGCCCAAGACTTAGTGTGATCCAGCTACATCTGCCTTTCTTCACTGTGCTCAAGCTGGGTCATCCTTGCCTGCTGCCTGCAGGATCCCATCCTCTTGGCACATCTGACTTCAAGGCCGGGGTCCAGCAATGCCTCTCTGAAGCACACCCATGGCCTCACATCCTTCTTCTCCACATGGGTAAAGACATAATTTGCATTTGGAGATGAGGTCTTAGTTATACTGCCCGGGGTTAGTCTTAAACTCCTGAACGCAAAGGATTCCTCTCTTCAACCTGAGTAGGTGGGAATGCAGGAGCATGGCACTTTGGCTGGGTAAGTTATATTATATATATTGTGTGGCATTTATGCGTGCACACGTATGTGTAGGTGAGCACATATATGAGAGTGGAGATGAGAGGCTGGTGTCTTCCTCTGCCATTTTCCACCTTACTCTTTGAGACAAGATCTCTCACTGAAACTGGTATTAACTAATGGCCAGCCTGGCTGGCCAATGAGCCCAGGGAATCCTGTTTCTGCTCTTCCTTACCCCAGATGCTGGGGTTACAATCACCCTTGGCTTTTCAGTAGATGCTAGGGATATGAATGCAGGTCCCTATCTTTGCATAGTAAGCACTTTACGCATACAGCCATCTCCTCAGCCCTGATACTAATTAAAAAGAAAAAAAAAAAATTGGTTTTACGATTTTGTTTCAGATTTATTTATTTTATGTGCATGAATGTTTTACCTGTATATATGTACATACATGCCTGGTGTTCTTGGAGATCAGAAGGTGCTGGATCCCTTAGGACTGGAGTTACGGATGGCTGTGAATCAGTATGTGGGCTCTGGGAAGTGAACCTCTGCAAGTGCACAAGGTGCTCTCACCTGCTAAGCTGTTTCTTTCCAACCCCAACTACCAATCTGAGAAGAAAGACCAGCATCTTTAAAACAAACCCTGGCACACTAGCCTTGTATTTTCTTCTGAAGAATGGCCTCAGCACATTTTCTGACTCAAAAAATCTCTTTCTATAGTAAGGGCATTAACCCTCTATCTTCTAATTTACTGTTACTTTGACATTTGCCTTTTGACTTTATTCCGGCTCTGCTTCCCTAGATCTATAAGTCTGATTTCAATTCTGGCAATTCTCTGATTCTAAGATTATATACGTTAACAATTTCTTTCCCTTTCTTCTTACTCTTCCTTCTTCCTTTTGCTACAGGGTCGCATGTAGGCTCACGAAGCTGTGGCCCTGAGCTCCCACTCCTCCCGTGCTGGGATCATGGGCAGGCACTGCCCATACTGACTGCACTTTAAAACACTGCACTTCTGAAATCACTGCTCTTGAGATCCCTGAGTCTTATTAACTCTTTAAAAGTGAAGAGGGCTGGCGAGATGGCTCAGTTCATAGGGCACTTGCTGCAAGGTTTGACACCTTGAATTTGATTCCTGCCTGGGACACACATAGTAGAGTAAGAGTCGAAGTGGGACCTGCCTGTCCAGCGTCAGTTATCATTGTATAGGGAAGTTTCAAAAGCAGCAGCGCTTTCTCAGCGCCCCAGAAGTCTGCTTGTAGACAGATGATGGCGTGGCCACACCAGAGCCCTGGAACAAGACCCATTGCCCATTCCTGTCACCACTTTATGTAGCCAGGTTCCATTTAATATTTTAACATCGTGCTTCTTAGTGCTGAGGTCTATAGATCGCTGAGCTCTTAGAGCTCAACTCCCTGGCTCCTATAAGCTCTGGAGGAGCTTTCAGGGTGGAGACAGTCTGGTTCTCCAGGGTGGATTAAGCCAGCCTTTAATTTGTTTTGGCCTCTTGCCTGGTTCTAGAGGCTGTTCACCAAGCAGTATTTCAGAAAATCTCCCGGACTAAAAATCTGTCAGGTTTTCTTCCTTTCTCTTCTTTTCTTGAAATAATTTTGGCAATTTATGTCTTCTTTGAAATGGTATTTTTCCGTGACTTGAGTTCATTTCCATTTAAGGGGATGAGCATGCTATCCTTGTGTATTTTAAAAAAGATTTACAACGTTGTGTTTATATTTATATTCTTTTTCTCTTAAGCATACATAACACAGTTTACTGACTTTTTAAAAAAATACTTTCTAGTAATTTCTCCTTTATGAGCATCTTGTATCAGAAAGTTTACATTTGAAATCCTGCCTTAGCTTCTGCAGTGCTGGGTTCTAGGCCTGTGCCATGTTCTGCTCTTTTTCCTCTCTGCTTCTGATACCAAGGACTGAACATGCTCAGACTAATGCTGTACTGAACCCCAGCTCACTTCCTGGGTTCACTGCTTACTCATTTTTTTTAAATTTTGTTCACCAACATAAACAGGTAATGCTATTGTCTTTTTTGGAATAGTATTTTATTGCATAGTATTTTTCACCCTTGGCAGTATAAGGGCTAGAATGCAGGGAAGTGCTACCACTGAGCTATATGCCCTAGCCCATAATAATTCTTTGATGTTCTCAATGCCCTTATTTCTGTGGACTCAGGACTTCAGGGTGCTGATTCGCCTCCAGGTCTGGCTTTCAGATGTGCTGAGAAATGAGGCACTGACCTGCTTTCTCTCCTCTTCAAGAGAGAAGCCTGGCTATTTCTATGTGGATGAACCTCTCTCTTTACATCTGTCCCTTCCTTTAAGATTTCTGAGAGTTTCCCGAGCTGTTCTCTAGTCAATTTGACTGATGCTGGTGATTTTTCTTTTCTTTTTGTTTTCCTAGATAGGGTTTCTCTGTGTAGTCTTGGCTGTCCTGGACTCACTCTGTAGACCAGACTGGCCTCAAACTCACTGAGATCTGCCTGCCTCTGCCTCCCTGAGTGCTGGAATTAGAAGTATGCACCACTGTGCCCAGCTGACCCTGGTGATTTCATCATGCTTAAGCTACTGGTATTTCTGAGCAGTCTTCTGGAGCTGTCAGATTATCAGAGGCCTGAGTTTCATAACATCTCAGCTTTTTTGAACATAAAGACCTAAGGATCTGTTCTAATACTCAGGACTAGAGGCTCAGCAGCTGGCTTCTGAATCTCAGCAGGGCTGGGCTTTGCCATCTTGAACCTCAGAGAAGCAGGTCTGCTTCTTCCAGGTCTCACTGTAGGAGGAGTGCTGTCAAACACCATGCATCCTGTCCTCACATCTTGGGCATCTCCTGCCAGGGTGGGCAGGCTCATGTAGCAGCTGGTCCTGGAGCTCCTTTCTCTGTGGCTCCTCAGCCAAACCAGGCAAGAGCAGTCTGGAGGGTGCCTCCTGGAAAACAGCCAGCTCATGGATGTCCCTACTTAGTCCCAGCTTCCCACCTTCTCCTTGCTGGCAGTGCCTGTCTGTGGATCACTGTCCTCAGATCTCTCTCCTCCCCTTAGAAGTAAGAACCAGCTGCACTGCATGTCCTTCCAGCACGGGACACATCTTGAATGGCTTCGAATGCAGAAGCTGCCTCTCTGCTTGGCACTGTGTCTCTGCTTATTTCAGTGAGGGCTAGAGTAGATAGTCACCTGACTTTGTAAACAGTGCTTTCCTAATAACAGCCAGATTACTGTGAATACTCACCATTACCCCACCCCATCCCAAAGGCCACTCCAGGTCAGGCAGGAGACTGCTGCCTGTGTCTACTGTCACTCTTCTACTCAAGCTTGTACTTCTTCTGTTGCCACTCCTGCACTAGGCACTGGGTCCCCAAAGGACCCCAACTGTCCCTCTGTCTTAACCTCAAAAAGTCAATGCTAGATAAAGAATTTGTTAGTAACCACAGAACCCACAGGAAGCAAAGGCCCAGATGCTGGACAGTACACCTCTCCAGACTGAATCACTAGAAACACCTGTCACCAGACCACATTTCGGACCTCACTTATCTCTGAACATCCAACACCACACCCTTTTCTGCAGTCTCTCTTTCAGTAAATGGAATCCAATGACTTCTTTACATTCTACCACAGGGCTCTGCTAACTGGCTCGAAGCAGACTTTCTCCTGTCTTCTATAGTATCAGCCACTTACACACATCTGTCCTGCTACACTACATCACCTGGCCAGAGGCAGGGCAAGGAGACCAAACGTAAGTGAGCGCAGCACTGCTTGACAAATGTGCTCAAGGGAGCCATTTGGATAAAGAAAACAAACTTCATCACAACAGTCTGCACAGGGACTGGAGCTGGAACCTAGTGGCGAGCACTTGCCTAGCTAAGTGAGCCCCAGGAGCAGTCCCCAGTACAAGGATGTGAGCACAGAAAGTTTCAGGGGGAGAGTGAAACAGTATCTGAAAATGTATAAACACATCCACTAAATGGCTCAAGCTGAAAGTTGATGCATCCTCGGACTAGCTTCTATCCACAGGGCTCCAGACACATGCTATAGAAGCAGGACAAGGTGAGCATGTCTGAATATGGCAGTTCACGACAGCAAGCCCAATAAGCCCCCATGGTTGAGGTACCTAGTCCTGTCCCTCAGGAGGGAAGCCCATGAGGCTTGGGCTTCATCTGGGCAGCGCACCTTTTACAAGCTTCCCGTCCACGGTGCTCTTGCTGGACCCAGCCTCCTTCTTCCCGCTGCCTCTTCCCCCAGTCTCTGCCATACCCTCAGGAGCGCCGTCCTCCCCAGCTTCACTTGACTCTTCAGCAGCGTTTTCTGTAGGAGCCTCTTCAGCTGTTGATGCTGCCTGAAAAAAGACATCACTGAGTACGGCTACATGACAAATACAAGGGTTTGTCAATATATTCCACAGTCCACGCCTATAAGCCCACCATTCAAAAGGTAAAGGCAAGAGCACAAGGAGTTCAAGGGTATCCTTGGCCAAAGAGAGTTTGAGGCCAGTCTATGCTAGATGAGGTCATTCTAAAAAACACATCAAAACTCATCTCCAACCCATCTGTAATAGCCAGCCTTTCCACATTTGAAATTCTGGTGTAGGATTTTCTTGGGTGCTTTAGTGTGTGTGTGTGTGTGTGTGTGTGTGTGTGTGTGTGTGTGTGTGTG